GTTCTCCCAGAGCTCTGGATGCCCCCGGGCACTTCTCCCTGCAATAAAAAGCGTTTGCAAAAGACCCTTTACAAATAGTCTTTATGGGGGTGAGATCAATATTTCCGTGCTGAAGATCTGCCAGCAAAGCTAGCCTGCTGCAGGGGTGATGGCCCATTGCAGGGGCTTTTCCTCATCCTGCTAAAATGCACCCCAGCCCAGGAAATCCTGCTGCTGCCATTAGGCAATCTCTGGCCCTGCCGGTTTCTCTCTGCAGCAACAGGGAGAGTTGGGAGTTCTCAAACCACCATGTGCAGAAAGGCCTCGGAGCTTGGGGCAGAGCATTTTGCTTATGGCATGATAAACTATCCAGAACTCCTGCGAGCAGGGCGGGGACTGGGAGCAGTGCTGACCTGCCTGGGAGCCCTGCGGTGTGCACAGCAGATTTCTTGTCGCCCACAGCCCTGGGGAAATCAGGCTGGTTAAGTAAGAGCTTGTTAAAACCCGAGACATGCTGCAAAGATATTTGTGTGCTGTGTTTTGAGCTGTTTGGGATCATCATCTCCCCATCCCAGTGGGATCCTGCCCATTGTGAGTGGGACCTGAGCACGGGTAATTTTTGTCTGTGCCCACCCCAAATATTCACCCTTGAGGTTCAGGGTTGTACGTGCTCCCCATGCAGAAATCCTGAAGTGGCTCCTGGCTGGGGAAAGGAAGGGGCCTGTGCCTGTGCTGTGTTTCCTGGAGACGAAGTGATGTATTCTCAAACAAAATTCTGTCCCTTGGTAAGGAGCCAGCCCTGGGCTGCAGCAGGCTCTGGGTCTGTAATTACACGTCCAACCTGTTGGAGAGTTTTTGCTCAGCCTTTGCTATCCTTTGTAATCCGAGCAGCAGCGGGCTCCCGTGGGATGCCCTTGGCACAAACCGCTCGCTGTCAGGCACCTTGTTTTGCCCAGGGCAGCAACTCCGAGCGAAAGCTGGAAAAACGTCTTTGCTGCTGCATGTATGAGGCAGGCAGGACCCAGCCTGCTCCGCTCCGTGAGCATCACCCGGGCACATGGACTCACGGAAAACTGAGCTGGGCTGCCGTGGGACGCGTGTGAGGAGCGGAGGGCAGGGAGCTGCCGGCAGGGAATATCAGCAGGACGGCAGGGAATATCGGCAGGATGGCAGGGCAGGATTGCAGGACGGCAGGGCATGTCGGCAGCATGCCAGCGTGCCCCGTGCCCCCTCCGCGCCCCTCCCCGGCTCCGGTGCCGCCTCCCCGGGGCGCGGGGGCCGAGCCTGCGGGAGGGGCCGGAGCGATCCGCGCCCCTCGCTCCGCTGCGCGCCCCGCATCCCCATCCCCGAGCGTGGCCGCGCTCGCAGGCGGCGCTGGCGCTTCCCCGCCGCGGCCACGGGAGCGGCGGGGCCCCGGGGCGATGCTGACCCGGCCTCTCGCCGCTCTCGCCCGCAGCCGTGGTGGGCGCCGGGCTGGGGGGCTCGGCCTCCGCGTACTTCCTGCAGCAGCACTTCGGGCCGCAGGTGCAGCTGGACGTGTACGAGGCGGCGGGCGTGGGCGGGCGCCTGGCCACCGTCACCGTCAACAAGCAGCAGTATGAGAGCCGGGGAGCCTCCATCCACGCCCTCAGCCTCCACATGCAGGACTTCGTCAAGATCCTGGGTGAGAGCAGCGCTTGCATGGCCTCCCTGGCTGAGCTGGGGGCTGGGACACCCCCAGGCTCTGTGCGTGGGGGAGTGGGGTGGGTTTCTGCCGGTGGGTTTCTGCCAGTCCCCCTTGGCACCCAAGGGAATGTAGTGAGCCCCTTGCTGTCTCTCCTGGAGAGAGAAGGGACAGGGTGGTCACCATCAGGGGGTCCTGCTGGAATTAGTGTTGGGCGGTTGTTCACGAACTCCTACCAGTCTGTCCCAGCTGGCAGCAGCAGCTCCATGAGGTGCCCCAACATGATGTGGCTGGGAGCCCGTGCCTTGGGGTGTCTCACTCCTGATGCTCCTCCAAGAGCATCTTTGCCCATATCCCTGCCTGGACATGTCCAGTGCTGGCCTTTCCCAGGAGCCAGCCGGCCCCGGGGAGGGGCAGCCACGAGGTCCCTGTGCTCCTGCAGGCCTCAAGCAGCGGCGCGAGGTGGCCGGGAAAAGCGCCATCTTCAGCGGGGAGCACTTCGTCCTGGAGGAGACCGACTGGTACCTGCTCAACCTCTTCCGCCTCTGGTGGCACTATGGCATCAGCTTCCTGCGCCTGCAGATGTGGGTGGAGGAGGTGATGGAGAAGTTCATGAGGTAGGAGAGCCCGTGGGGCTGGGGGGGTTGTTTCCCTGGCACCAGAGCATCACCAGGTGCCCCCTGCTGCTGTCCCCTCCAGGATCTACAAGTACCAGGCACACGGCTACGCCTTCTCCAGCCTGGAGGAGCTGCTGCGCTCGCTGGGGGGCGAGGCCTTTGTGAACATGACCCAGCGCTCGGTGGCCGAGTCCCTGCTGGAGGTCGGTGTCACCCAGCGCTTCGTGGACGATGTCATCGCCGCCGTGCTGCGCTCCAGCTACGGCCAGTCTGTGCTGGTGCCCGCCTTCGCAGGTGAAGCCACCTCCTCCTGCTGGGTGACCCTCCTCAGTGTCCCCTCTGCGGCTCTGGGGCCACCCTTGTCTTCCTCTCTGCAGGGGCCATGTCGCTGGCAGGAGCGCAGGGCAGCACCTGGGCGGTGGAAGGCGGGAATAAGCTGGTGTGTTCAGGTCTGCTGAAGCTGACCAAAGCCAATGTCATCTCTGCCAGGGTGACAGGCATCTCCCTGCACAGCTCGGGTGAGACTGGGCGTGGGTTTGGCTCTGGGTGCACCAGGGTGGGAGGCTGGTGGTGGCAGCATGGGAATGCTGTGCCTGGAGGGCATCCTGGTCCTGGTGAAGCATTTGGGAGACGCCCTGAGGGTCTGTCCTTCTCTCCTGAGGTTCACCAGGTTCTCCTGTGGCACCATCCTTGTTGCAGGTTCGCTCCGGCCCTGAGGGTCTGTCCTTCTCCCTTTGTCTGATCCAGTGGGGACCCTGCAGCACCAACCTCAGGGAGGTTGCCCTCCCTCCCTCCTGAGGTTCACCAGGTTCTCCTGTGGCACCATCCTTGTTGCAGGTTCGCTCCCCCTTCCACCACAGCAGAAGAATATCTGGGGCCTGGGATGTGGGCTGTGTTCCCCCAGTCCTCTTTGCCCGCACTAGGCTGGGCCTCTCTGGAAACATGTTATGTCTTAATGAAGCCTTTCTGCCACCCTAAGGCATCAGAAACTCATCCATAACCATCGGGTGCTGTGGTCCAGCACTGGTGTGTGCTGCAAAACCAGGGGATGGAGGTCGGGTTGGATAAAAGAGGGTCAAGGCAGCACCACCTGGGGCTCAGGGCTGCTCCTGACTGTCCCCTGTCTCTCCTCAGAGGGGAGAGCCCTGTACCAGGTCCACTACGAGAGCACCGAAGGCCAGGGCTCGGCTTTCTACGACCTGGTGGTGCTGACGACTCCGCTGCATCCCGGCAGGACCAACTTCACCTTCGACAACTTCCACCCCCCCATCGCCGACTTCCCCGGAGCCTTCCAGCCCTCCGTCACCTCGGTGGTGCACGGCTACCTCAACTCCTCCTACTTCGGCTTCCCGGACCCCAAGCTGTTCCCTTTCACCAGCATCCTCACCACCGACACCCCCGACCTCTTCTTCCACGCCATGGACAACATCTGCCCCGTCAACATCTCGGCGGCGTTCCGGCGCAAGCAGCCGCAGGAGGCGGCGGTGTGGCGCGTGCTGTCCCCGCAGCCGCTGGACAAGCCCCAGCTGAAGACCCTCTTCAGGTCCTACTACTCGGTGCAGGTGGCGGAGTGGCAGACGTACCCGCGCTACGACGCCGCCAAGGCGCTGCCGCCCATCGTGCTCCACGAGAGCCTCTTCTACCTCAGCGGCGTGGAGTGGGTGGCCAGCTCCATGGAGATGACGGCGGTGGCCGCCAAGAACGTGGCCCTGCTGGCTTACAACCGCTGGCATCAGGAGCTGGACAAGATCGACCAGAAGGACTTGATGCACAAGGTGAAGACGGAGCTGTGACGCCCGCGAGGGGTGGTGGGCCAGGAGCTCTGGTGTGTGGTAGTTTGGGGAGTATTTATTGCCTTGGGGGGGCTGGGGGACAAGGGACAGGCTGTGTCCCGGTGACTTGAAAGCCTTCAGGAATACAGTTCCTGCCCAGTGTTGCTGTGTCTGCGCCGTGTGCCTCAGTTTCCCTGTTCCCTCACCCCTGGCTCTGCTGGAAAGGAGCCTGTGCCTTCTCCTGAAAAAGGTCACAGTGTTTGGGAGGGATCTTGGGGGGCTTTCAGGGGCGAGGCTGGCTGGCATTGGCAGCAGATGGGTCCCCCCGAGCTTCCCAGCTCCCAGCTCTCTCCTGCCTTTGGGAGCCTCACAGGAAGGGCTGCAGATCCCACGGCCTCTCCCATGCCTGGAGCCCAGCCCTGCTCCTGTGCTCCAGGGATGCAGGGGGGGCTCTCACAGCTCCTGCCAGGCGCTCTCTGCTTCTGGGGCTGTCCAGGATTGTGTCTGGGGGGCAGAAGAGCCTCAGTGGGAGAAGCTGGGCAGGACAGAGGGGCAGCGTGAGGGGCCAAGGCAGAGCAGCTCAGACCAGGGCCAGCAATGCACTTTATTGAGACCTCAGAAGCTGCCCAAACCACCAGCAGCTCACCCCGCTCCTTGTGCTGCCCAGCCTGGCACAGAGGAACCTGTGGGATGGCTGGGAAGGACTGGGACAGACTTGGGAGGACTGGGAGGGACTGGGAAGGACTGGGAAGCACAGGAGGGCTGGGTGCTGCCGGGAGCTGTTGCAGCGATGGAGCAAACAAAGGGAAATGGGGACTTTGGGAAGGGAGGAGGCCTGACCCTGATCCTGACCCTGATCCTGATCTTGATCCTGATCCTGACCCTGACCCTGATCTTGATCCTGACCCTGACCCTGATCCTGATCCTGACCCTGACCCTGATCCTAACTCTCACCTCCTGATCCTGACCCTCATCCTGATCCTGACCCTGACCCTGATCCTGACCCTGACCCTGCCCAGCCACAGGACCATGGGCAGCTGGCTCCCTCTCTCCCCCAGCCCACAGCTGAGCTCCTCCCTGGAGGCTGGGGGCAGTCGGTGTCTGGGGCCGGGTGACTCCCAGGGGCTGCCTCTGCACTGGGTGTCCCCAAAGCAGCTGCTGGGGCTGAGGCTGATGGAACCTGCATGGGAATTTGGAGGAGCTCTTGCACAGGGACCTCCCCTCACCCTGATGCCCAGCCGGGTGGCCTCTCCCAAAGGGCAAGCTGGGGAAGCAAGAGCAAGCTGGTGAGGTGCCCAGCACTGGGGGAGCTGCAGGGCGTAGCTTTGCGGCCTCAGAAGATGCAGGTGCAGCCCACAGCGATGGTCTCCATCACCATCTGGTACTTCTTGTGGCACTGCTTGCCCGAGGGCGTGCGGCCCGGGCGCGGGCAGAGCAGGCGGCGCACGGGCAGGCGGCTGTAGATGGGGATGCTGGCCATGCTGCGGTCCTCCTGCATGGTGAAGGGGTTGATGCAGCCAGTGCAGAGGCACCGTGCTTCAGGGATGTCTGCTGGGATCCGTGTGGCATCGTGGTTTATCCTGGAGGAAACAGGACAGGGAGATGGTGATGGGGGCAGTGGGTGAAGCTGGGTTCTGCCTCACAGCCTCCAGCAGCCAGCACAGCCCCTGTGCTGGCACAGAGCCACCTTGCCTGTCCCCGAGGTCCCTGCCCCAGGCTCACCTGTAGGCCCAGGGGGACAGGCTCCTGCGGTTGGACCTCCAGAGCCTCAGGTTCACCTGGCACTTGGTGTCCCCCGGCTCGGAGCCGTTCCTCAGCTGGCGCACCATGTCCTGGATGCTGTGCTCGTACTCTGCCATGCTGCTGTAGGGGTCAGCAGGTGCCCAGGCCAGGGCAGGGGGGGCTGTTGGTGCCCGTGCCAGGCCCCTTCTCCTGCCCTTGGCTGCCTTGCTCTGGTCCTTGGCTTCGGGAACCGGGACCATGGCGAAGGTGAAGATGCAGAGGAGCAGCTGAGGAAGAAGGAGGATGGTGAGTGGCTGCTTGGGCTGCAGGACTGGCGTGGAAGGGGAGCTCCCCCTCCTCCCCGGGGTCACCAGGTGATGGCAGGACCACACTGACTTTGAGGTGGCACATTCAATGCCCTAAGGCAGTGCTGGCCTGCAGGTGAGAAACACCTCAGGGCAGTTTGCAGGGCACTCTGTCATTGATGAGCTGATGCGTGTGGCTGCCCCTCACCCTGCTCGGAGCTGGCAGTTTGTGTTGCCCAAAGTGCCCCTGCCTGTCCTGCCTGAGCTGTGCCCTGTCCCCTCCCTGCCCACCCCGAGGCAGCTGCTGGCTGGGAGTTACCCAGCTCAGGCTGTACCTGAGCAGCCTCTGGTTTAACAGGAGCCTTTCAGAGATGAGACAGTCAAGAATGAGATCTTTATCCAAGCCCTCCTCTCCCTCCCTCTGTGCTCTGAGGACGGTGAGAGAGAAAAGATGCTTTTTTCCTTCCCTTCTCCCTCCGGCCTCGCCGGGCCGTGCAGCCGTGTGCTGCCACCCGGCAGGCTGCCCAGTAGGGAACAAAGTTGCTTTCTGTAGTGCTGCTCGCTGCTGTTGGTGTCCCTGCAGTGGCCCAGGCTGCCCCACACCCTGCCCGTGGGTGTGCAGTGCCCGGGGCAGGCAGCTCGGTGCCGGGCTGCCGGCTGGGCTGGCTCTGCTGCATCCTCACCCTGCTGGGCATGGGGGCGATGGCCCTGGCAGGCCACAGCGGGCACCTCCAAGCAAACAACCCCAGGTAAACAAGCATGCAAATAATTCTGTTAGAGAAGGAAAACCAGGAGCAAGCCCTGAGCTGCCGGGGAGGCACCTACCAGGTTTGGAGCCCTCTCCATGGCCACGGACGGGTGCCGGCCGCTGTCCTGCACTGTGGCCGGTCCCTGCAAGCCGGGCAGCTAAAAAGGGAAAGCCCCAGCCCCCGGCTGTGCCCTGCCAGAGGTGTGTCCGGTCCCCAGGGTGCCAGGGAGCCTCGGAGCAGCCAGGGCAGGGGGCCAGCGTGGTCTGGGACTCGGCCACCCGTCACCGCCCCAGGCGCTGGCTCTGCTGGCGGTGGCGACTGTGGTCAGTGGCGGGTCCCCTCTGGAGCAGGCAGCCCTGAGGGGCTCTCCTGGCAATAACATGCTCTGGGGAGGGCGTTTGGGCTCTCTTGGTGTCACCAGCACGGTCACAGCCTGACAGGGCCGGAGGGACACGGCTGCTGGGCTGGCAGAGCAGGGGCAGGCTGGCTGTGCCCCGTGCTGGCAGCAAGGTGAGCAGGTAACCTGGGGCTGAGGGTCTGCTGTCATCTGTGAGCCACCCCCAGCAGCAGCTCTGCCGTCCCCAGGAGTCCCCAGACCCTTCTGCCCAGCAGTGAGATGGTGGCAGCCATCACTCCCTGCGCCCCTGGTCTGTCTGTCCCCAGACCCTTCCCCTTGTGCTGTGCTCCAGCTCCTGCCATGGGGACACAGCAGCTGTGCCCACAGCTGCCCCTGGCTCTGCGGGGCTGGGTGTGGAGGGTGATGCCTTCCGGGGCCAGGCACCGCGGTGCAGGGTGCTGCGGTGGGGGAAACTGAGGCACGGGGGCGCTGACTGTAATTCCCCGTCCAGGGGACAAGGGCTGGCGTTGCACCCCTGCTCTGTCGCTGTCCGTGCGGTCAGGAGCCACGCGATGGTGCTGTCCGCCAGCCGAGCGCTCCCAGTCCTTCCCGTCTGCATCCCTCCTCCTCTCCATCCCTCCGTGCATCCCTCCGCCCCTCCATCCCTCCCTCCATTCCTCCTCCTCTTCATCCCGCCCTCCATCCCTCCCTGCATCCCTCCGCCCCTCCATCCCTCCTCCATCCCTCCACCCTCCATCCCTCCCTGCATCCCTCCACCCTCCATCCCTCCTCCATCCCTCCGCCCTCCCCGCATCCCTGTCTCCTCCCCTGCAGCCCCGGCTGCCGCCGCTGTTCCCCACGCTCCCGGGCAGCAGGCTCTGCCCTGCTCCTTTGGATGTTTTCCTGCTGCTCCCGCCTCACTGTGCATCCCCGGGGATCTCAAGGCCCTTGAGCTTTGTAGGGCAGAGGGAAATTTCCACCTCCTTTTCCCAGCCCGTGAACTGTGCCTCTAGAAAACCCCATAAATGGGGTGAAGGTCTCTGCACCCCCAAGTCGCGCTGTCCCCCTCCTCCTGGCAGCCCTGGGATGCAGAGGGAACAGCCCGCATTAACCTCCCCAAGGACAGCCCCAGCACAGCTCCAGAGGCTTTGCTGTCCCCTCGGCTGAGACCTGAGCACTGAGTGTCCCGTTTGTCACCTCAGGACCTGCCGGAGGAGCCCTGCAGCCACCTGCCTGTGCTTGGGGTGTGCGGCAGCACCCGGCATTTGGCCACCAGCATTTTTTGGGGTGCAGAGCCAAGCCCTGCCTGCACCCAGCGACTTCAGCCCGCTCTGGCAGCCCCGGCAGGGCCGGTGGCAGCGCCTGCGTGTGCCGCGGCCGCTGCGTTGTGTCAGCGCTCGGCAATGCTGTTTACACATGAGAGAGGCGCAGAGGCATCTGTGCCGGCAGCCAATTACCCAGTTTTGATCTTTTTTGGTGAAAAGGAAACCAGGCCTTTTCAGACATGGCCAAATTTGATAAGCTGGGGGAGGCGGGGGCGGGCGAGGGAGGCTTTTCCCCACCGGCCTCGCCCCAGGGAAGGGGCTGGGATGGGGAGGCTGGGTCAGGGCCAGCTCTGCCTCCAGGCTGGGACGGGAGGGCTGGGGGCTCCGTGTGCCATCCAGTGCCATCCCTGATGGAGCAGGGTGTGCTGGAGCTGGAGTGCTGGAGCCCCCCAGGGCTCTCCTGGGCAGGGATTGCCCCGAGGGGAGAGGAGAGGTGCTCTCAGGTTTGGTACGTGCTCATCTCTGCTGCTGTCAGCACTTTGCCACACTGCCATGGGTGTTTGGGTGGAGACCGAGGCCTGCAGATGGGGAACGGGCATCCAGATGGGGCTGTGAAGAAAAGCTCCACCTGCCCTGAGTAAAGCCAGGTGTTTATTTGCCAGACAAGCCCCATGGAACCCCCCCCAGGCCAAGAGATGCAGGGCATCCGTGTCGTGCCACGCTCCCTGGCAGCAGGGATGTGCTGGGCAGGGATCGTGTGGCAGAGCAGAGCACACCACGGGGACTGCAGGTACGGGAGTGGGGGCAAGTCAGGCCACAGCTCCACGCTGGCAGAAAACAGCTTTGTGCAGTTTCCCACAAGCAGAAATGTCCCTGCAGGGGTGGGAGCTCTGGGGTGGGGGCTGCAGTCCCCTCCATGGGCAATGGGCAGCAATGCTGCTGGTGCCACTCTGCAGGGCACGGCCACTTCCCCGGGCACCAGGCTGCTCCAGAACGCAGCTCCTGGTGGGGTTTGTGCACACCTGAGCTCACACCCACCCCAGGCAGACAGGCGGCTCTGGCAGAGGCTCCAGCGCGGCCTCATCCCTATCTCTGCGTGAGCAACATTTTCCACTCATCAAAGGAAAGCTCCAGCGAGCTGTCCCGGCCAGAGCCAGTCCTGTGCTGTGGTGGGAGGAGGGTCAGGCCCGGGGGCCTCCCATGTCCCCCCAAAACCCCCCTGGCAGGTAGCGCTGGCCCCGCCAGAGCACGGAGCTCACATCCTTATTTGCACAACGGCTCCAGAGACGCCCGAGCCAAAAAAGCTTATTTTAAGCCTGCTGGAAAAAGAACATTGTTTGGTGGGAATTAAAACTCCCCATTCTCAAAAAAGGGAAAAACAAAAAGTGCTTCATTCTGCCGGCTCCTGCCATTGCATAAACACAGAGGCAGGCACGGCTGGACAGGGCGCCCAGGAATTTGTTGCTGGCATCGAGCAGGATGGGTGCTCTGTTGTGGGACAAGGACCCCTCCTCTTCTGTGCCCCCGCTGTCCCAAAAGCCCTCATCCTGGCAGGAGGGGTGTTCCCGAGGGAGGGAAGGGGCATTGCCCCACCGTGGTGCCAGGGTGCCGCGGGCAGGAGGGGTGCCCACGCTGGCAGCCCGAGATCTCGCTGCCCCGGGCCCTGCTCAATATTATTTATACAGCCCCAATCCAGCTCCCCCGGCGGCCCTTCTGCCTGCCGGGGCGGGCGATGCTCGGGGCTGGCTGTAAATCACGCCCTTGGCATCCCAGAACAGCCAGATTTGGGCGTCGGGAGGCAGAGCCGAGCCGGGCTGTCCCCCGGGGCTGGGGGGACAGCAGCACCCCGGACGGGGGGCTCCGGGGGGAGCGGGGCCGGGGGCCAGCGGTGGGGAGGGGGAGATGCGGGGAGGGGAAGATGCGGGCAGGGGAAGGTGCGGGGAGGGGAAGGTGCGGGGAGGGGAAGGTGAGGGGAGGACGATGCGGGGAGGGGAAGATGCGGGGAGGGGAAGATGCGGGCAGGGGAAGATGCGGGCAGGGGAAGATGCGGGGAGGGCGCATCCTGCGCGGCCCCTCCGGCACATCCATCACCCGCCCGCGTTTACTGCACGTCGCCGCTTACACGATCCAGACGCGCAGGTTCCTCCTGTCCCGCTCCTCTCCTGCCTTTTGTTTTCTTTTGCCTCCTGCTGCTGGAGACAGAGCACCTGATGGAAAAAGGCTGTTCTGGCGCTCCCCGGGCTGGAAACAGCCGCTTCCTTCCGTCCCTGCCCGGCCCCGCGCCCGGCCCGGTGCCTCCCTGCCGTGTGTGGTTCCCGGTGGTGGCTCCGGGGAGGGCTGGAGGGGCCGGTGGGTGCCCGGCACGGACAGACCCTGGTCCTGGTGAGCCCCTCCGGGAGCTCCGTGCGGGGCAGCCTCAGGTCCCCATCGGACAGAGGGGGACAGAGCCACGGTCTCCTCCAGGCTGGGACCACTGAGGCAGGACCTGGTCCCCTCATCCAGCCTGGCCCCATGCCCTGCTCTCTCCTGGCTCCCTGTGCTTGCCCTCTGGCCTTTTCCAGCCCTTTGGGCTCCTGGCCTCAGCCTGGCCTGGCTGTGCCCCCTGTCCACCAGCACAGAGCATGGGTGGGCAATGCTGGCTTTCCAAATAATTCCGTTTTCCTTCCCCCTGCAGCCTCAGGAAGTCACACACCAACCCATGAGTGCTTGGGAGGGGTGGCTTCATTTTGTGCTGGACTGCAAAGGTGAGACAGTCCTGCCAGGACGGGGGATGCCCTCTGCATCCCAGCTCCTGGCTGAGGGAAGGGCTGGTCCTTCAGCCCCATGTGGGACACATGGAGCAACCTGGAGCCATCCCCACCACCTTCCCTGCAAGGCCAGGGGGCTGGAGGGTGCTCCCAGGGACAGGCTGCCAGGGCAGCAGTGCCCTCTGGGTCTATGAGGAGAAAGCCTCTTCCCTGAAGGGCTTTGGTGGCTTTTCCTGGTGGGCAGGAGTCCAAGCTCCCAGTTCCCAGGGCAAGGCAAAGGGCAGAGGTAAGTGCAAAGCTTGCAGAGGCACTGATGTCTGTACTGGAGGGCCGTGATTGAGCCAAACTTCCCTGTGCCCCTGGGCAAGGGATCCCATGCAGGGCCCCCCAGACTGCTGGGGAATCATCCCTGGGTGGGAACTCTGAATTCAGAGCAGACAATGTCCTGCCCTGCTCACCATTCCCCGTGTGCTGCAGGAAGGGGGGAAGGATTTACAGGGCAGCACTGGCCAGTCCTGAAGGTCACCTTCAGAGCTGCTCCAGCCCGTTCATCACTGTCCTGCCCTGCAAGGGGCTGAGGGAGCAGGGGCTGTAACAATACCCGGGCTGAGAAATGCCCTCCTGCCCTCCAGCAGCCCCCTCCCATGTCAGGCAGCAGATGAAAAGGTTCTAAATTTGGTGTGTTTGGATGTTAGCAGGGCTTGCAGGAGAAGAGTTTCTCTTTCCACGTCCCAGGCTCTTGGGAAGGTGGGAGCAGCCCAGGGCTCCCTTTCCACCACTGCCCTGTGGCATCACCCCCTGTGCAGGCAGCAGTCCCCTCCCCACCTGCCTGGGACAGAGCTGGCACTGCCACTTGACCCCTGCCCTCACACCCAGCCAGAGAGGCTGGAGGTCAGCGGGAGGTGGGAAAAAATGTCACTTTTGTGGAGATACTGAAACTGAATCCGTGCTGAGGAAGGATGGCTGGGCAGCATCTTAGTGAAGGAGTAACAAAAACAAACCCGCGCCAAGGAATCCTGCTTTGCCCCAAATGTTTTTCTTATGGAGTTGTAATAAGACAAGAGCTGTAAAGATAGTAACCTCCTAAACATTACCTTATTAAGGCTTCTCAGCAACCGCAGGGCACGACCCCTCTGGGTCATGGAACAAGAGCGCAGCATCCAGCGAACAAACAGAGGCTAACGTTACATTTTTCACTTCATTTAGGGAACCTGGTTTCTAATTATAGTGTTTGTTTAATGGTTGTGCCTCACTCAAAGCCAGCCCTCCGAGAGCAGAGCAGGGGAGTGGGAGTGCTGGGAGATCTCCCTGCTGGCTCCCAGGGCATGGGGATTGAACTGGGCACAGAGAAGGGTTTGGGGACAGAGAGGGGATTGGGGTTGGGAGCAGTGAGGAGGGTCTGTGCCCAGGGAGAGCCCCAGCATGCCCTGGGGATGTCCCACAGGTGCTGTCCCAGCTCAGTGCCGTGCACCAAGGCTGGCTGCAGCAGGGGAAGGGCTGTGCTGCTGTGCTCTGTGCAATTCCCACTGCAGGTCAGCCAGCCTGGGCTCATCCCTGCCCTGCTGACCTGCTGGGAGCTGCTCCTGGGCCTGGGTGAAACCAAGGCTCGTGCTGCCAGGGCCGCTGCATCTCTGTGTGTGCAGCAATGCAAA